TATATATATATATAAATAAAACTTGGAACAAGAAAAGTATAATGACATTTGTCTGTCTGTTACACAGACACAGACACACACACACAGATATAATGGGTTATATTTACATCTATCAATCTATCTATCTATAGAACAAAACGTACATGCATACACAAATACATACACACATACCTATATGGAATGGTGTATTGTCCCAAAAACTTATCTTTGTTTTACCAGTGTATGGTGTAGTCTTAAAAATCTTAAACTAAGAGAAAACTGCAATTGCATTTTAAGGATGTGAGACACTTACTAGGCATAAACTTTTCCAATTCCACAGTTAGTGTTGTGAGCACTGTATGCATAACTGAAGTGTATAATTGCTGTCAATTAATGTAAAATGTTTCTCTTTGAAAAAGAACAACAAGAAATGTGCCAAAGAAGACGAGTCCATCAATGTTCCAAGCAGCTGAAGACTGAATGCTACACCATCTGTTTGATGAAATAAAACTACACGTTAACATGTTTTGATGAAGTTCAGATTAAGTGACAATGCTGACTGATACTCCCAGAAACTGCTTGTACAACTGTCTCCTAACACTGTATATCACCTACACAATAAGTAATGGATCAATTCACAACATTTATCCTACTCCTCAGTTTCTCCAGCAAAGCCTAAATGAGAGATTAATCAGACTTTCTATCTGTTCTGCCATTTTTTGCCAGACAAATGAGACAATCTCAATTAAAATAATACTCTGTCCAGCGCATCTATACATTAATTAATGTGCTGTAATTATGGCACATTAAGCCTAGTACCTGTAATGACAGTTACTAACTTAACTCACTGTAATCAGTGCTACTGCACATTAGCGCAGATGAAAGGTTTTTTTGTGATGCTACATGAGCATTAGACTATATCTACTGTGCATTAGTGCATTATTATGGGCTTTGCCTGCTACACTAAATTGCAGTAGAATTAGTCTTCTGCGCATTAAGAAACTTGTGTAAATGCACCCTGTAAATGCAAAAAGCTATTCTTATGCATCATTCCAATTGCACAGATAATATTTTTAAAGAATGAAGATTCTGATAAGAATGTGGATTCAGAGATGCTACTTGTTTCCTTTACAGTTTAAACTAGTTAAATTGGCTGAACATATTTTTCCCAGTTAGATTACTTGTATACCAAGTATTGTAAAACATATAGATTAATTGAATGATGTTATAAGGCAGGATCCAAATAGATAAACTGAACAGCTAAACGGGGTATATAACATGTTATATATCAAAGAACATTGACCTCAGCTATATTTTTGTATGCTCCTATCTCATGATTGTTATCCAGAAAATAAGGTACTTAGACCTGTTGGAAAGCATGACTTAACCAATATTATTTACAATTTATGTCATAATGTCAGGGATAGAATCTATTCTCAAGGGTAACATTCAACTGCCAAAATCCTTACTCTATCCTTTCTCTTCTTGCAGTCATTTGCTTCATGTATTACATGCCTTCCAACTACTATAGCAAATGAGGTGTAGATCCTTCAAACAACCTTATTCTCTACTTAACACAGATTCATTTCTAGAACACCATTCATCCTGTGCACTAAGGGAGGTCAGGCCCATCTATAGAATTGATGGTGATGGAATTAAAGGTATACAATAATGGATATAGAGGAGAAGGGATAAGATTTTTAGAGGCTCCCTCTACATGTTACATGTATTATGCAATACCTGGGTTAATCACACAATTAATTTAGACTGCTTACACATGCAAAGGTCCAACCAGCTATAAAGTTATTGCTGGAAACTATGTCATAACTTTATGGTTGGTTTCTATCCAGCTTTAATTTGCACGTGGGGAGCTGCTGGGACACATAGTCCACAGCTGTGGGACTCTCAGTCCCAGCAGCCATGGGACACTGCCATGGCTGTAAGACCCATTAGTTACAGAACTTGAAGCTGCAGGAGCTTGTTACTTACTAGTGCAGGGTGAGCCCAGAACAGTGATTCCAGTGTTTCACTGGCATGGCAGCAGGTGCAACAGGGTGGAATGTGCATCAGATCCTATCACACCTTTACCTAAATATCCAGAGACACCCAGAAGCTTATAGATTGACTGAATTTAGGTACATTTTTTATGAGAACAGCAAATAGGAACAGAGCATGAGAATATTTAAAATACCAGTATGCTTAATAGGAAAAAAAATATGGTTCGCATTAGTTAAATTAATTTTTACATCAGGTGATTACAGAATGATGTTTTTATTATGTTTATTGGGATCAGTAAAATGAATTCCAACATAGTTTATTATAATTTGTCATTGGTATTAATGAAAAGGATATATTTTGTTTTTAAAACCATCATCATAAAACTTAATTGAAACAAACAAACAAAAAACCAGTCTGTTCTAAACACGTTTTATGACATCCTCACCATTATAGGATTTGAATAATTTTTAGTGGATTGTTAGTAACTTTACTGATAGCTTGATCAATTATATTCAAAGGGTGCTTACAGATGTGGAAAAGTAAATGGCACTTTACTTTCAGCTCGGTGTGCCCCCATGCCAAGCCCAGTGCATGCCCAAATGTGAGAAATCACATTAGTTTGACCCAGCTTGCCCAACATCTGTATAGAGCTGGTGCTTCAATGGGACTTTTTGCCCCTTTTATCTAATACTTGATTAAGTTACCTTTAGATAAAAGAGCCAAAAAGCATCGCTGAAGCAACTAATTTATATAGACACTGGAGAGCTGGGTGGAGCTAACTCAAAGCCTCTTCTGGTAAAGCGCTGGGCTTTTTTTCCTGTCTGTCAGTGGCGAAATGATTAGTCCAGAAGGTATAAAGAAGGAATGGAAGGTAAAATGTAACTGTAAACATTCAAGGTCACTCATGTTTACATATTTTGTGGATCACGTTGTGCCCTTGCTTATTTTTTACTTTAATAAATAAGGTTAATGATGATTAAATATTGGAACATAGTGGAGATTTTCACTTTTAGATTATCTCTTCTTCTATCTTATTGTACAAAAGTAGAGACTTCTCTGAGCCTCTAACCTTCTTCAGGGCAAAGTTAAATTTCATAAATAGAAGCTGTGGTGTTCAACACGATTTAGATTCAAGATCTTAAATTTGAAGAAAAACTAAGGAATTCCCATACTAATATGTATTTTCCTTTAAAAAGGATGCTTATTAAGTTACTTTGTTTTGTCTCTGTTTAACAGGTCTATCTTTTTTATGTTCTACGTTATTCTCTAATATGTTAAAGTCAGTCTATTGGTCTCATTAAAATGCTTGAAACTCCTAGAATTACCTATACAGTTATCTGATTAAAATGTAGTTTTTAAATTCTTCTGGTATTACTGTAAACATTATAGCTCCCATAAAGATTAACCAAAAGGTCATACTTCCCATGAGGTGTTCTAAATTCCATTTAATTGTTTCCTCAACTTGATTGAAGCACCATTAATTAAGATGAAAATGGCAGGTTTTTATTTACACTTGTAGCTTTGTGAAACAGCTTTGTTTAGGCTTTACCTAAATAAATAGCATTCTGAATCTAAATGGTGGGTACCGAGAAACTCCAAAATATTATTGGATAAGCCATTAAGATATAAATACCAGCGATAAAACAATTAGGATGCTCTTATGGGTCTTCTGGGATTTTAGAGAAAGCCGGAGGACTTGGAAATAACAGAATATGACCACTACAGGTCACATAGAATGTCTTCACTATTTTCTGAAAAAGAAAAAGACAACAGAAATAAACTATTTCCTAATCTGTACTAAATGAATTGTTCATACTATTCAAAGTCATGCATAATTAAAATGCATACATTTTTAAAACCCAATATGGAAACAAACCTATTTTGAATATTATAGAAACATCTTGAGTCTCTGAAAGACTTAATGAAGTTTAGCTCCTTCTAATCCTAATTTGAAAATATATGAGATGTTTGTTTAATGAATGTTATGTTATCTTTAATTTGAAGCAAAGCCAAGAATGGTTCTGCCCACAGCAACTTAGAAATGTGGAAACCAAATTTTCCAGTACGCTATATCTTGTCACCCAGTTTCTATCTGATGCTCTAAACAAAGCTAAGAAGTTGTAAAAAAAGAAAAAAAATATTTTGTTAATTGTACCCAAATGTAACAGAATCAATGTTCTGCTTTTGGAAGAAGCTCAAGGGTGGAAATGTAGGAATATCTCGATTATCTTGTTAAGAAAAGTCACATTGCTAGATGCTGGGAAAAGATATGTTATACAGATACCGCTTCCACCATAAAATATTTGTCTTAAATACTTCCCAGTATGTTCATGTTTTTCAGATATGAAGTCAGAATGTAAGTCTATGAGCAGACTTATGTCCTTATTAAAAACATTAAACATATACACACCCTCTACTGCATTGCCCATTTTTCTTTAAAATTAGCAAAAGAGTTGAAAGACATCTTCCTACATATTGAAAATCTTCTGCTTCATTTTAACCATTGTAAAAAGCTAGGTGCAGAAATATTTTTATCTACTGCTATGAATGATTCTTTGCCCTAAAATAATCTAAATATGACTATGCCTTAAATTAGTAGTTCCCATACTGTGGCCCATGTGAGGCCATGGAGGTAAGTTGTAAATCTCACCATGACAAATTTCACCTTCTTCTCTTTATTTAAAAGTTGATGGTAAGTGTGCAATTTAGAGGTTGATAGTAATCTATGGGTCCAAAACATTGAGGGATTACTCACATAAACAGTATAGGACCACCACTGAAATAATTTCAATTCCATGACTAGAAACTGAAATACTTCCTCAGCTACACAAAGTCAGTTGTTTCCCCTCCTTCAGAGGCAGGTGTGCAATTCTCCTAAGTCTGGAAAATTCTAATAATTTAACTCTATACTTTTGTTGCTGCAGTGTAACAAATTCCCAATTTTCTTACCATCACTCTTAGATAACCACTAAATTCTCTTACAATTGTGAGCTCCTTATCCAGTATAGCCTGGATGCAAAATACAGTGACATTTTATATCTCATGCTTCTTATTTTTCTTAAATATACTTCTGTGAAGTACTTGTTGTTTTTTAGAGGTCTACAAGAGCTAATTGGGAATATTTCAATTAAATTTATCTGTTGGAATTTACAAATATGGCAAAGCTTAACTTTTTACAAGAATGTACCAGGTTTGACTGGTTTCACAGAAAAATATATTTTTTTACAATTTCTTATTGGTTTAATAAAAGATACCGACTCTAAACCAAGAGTTCTAGAGTTTTGCATTCCTTTTTGCTATCACTATACTCCATAATGCTTCCTTACCCTAATTATTTGGGGATTCATTCTGCAGTTGTTCTGTACCCTATTCTCAAAGAATTTTATGATAAAATGTTTTCACCATGAATTGAGTTTTCATAGTGTACCACAGTTGCAGAAATGGGCTATGGAGAAAAGGCTGTAATTTTCTTTGGCATTTATAAATGAACCTAAAAACAGTAGCCAGGAAACAGATCTTATTAGGAACTCTATCTTGTTTTATCAAATTTTCCTTCCTTTTTTTCCCCATAATATTTCCCCCAAAATGCCATAACATAATCAAATAATTGGCTAATTTCTTTTTGTTATCAAATAAAGCATATTACTGATAAAAACAAATAAACAATCAAAACCCTTCAAGTTTTATGATTGAAATATATTTGCATTTTTACTGGAAACTGGAA